AATTTATATGTGAGCGTGGGTCATATATCACAGTAACCTGATGCACTGTGAAGATTCTCTCAGAATTAAACAAAAAAATGTTGATGAAAAACATTTGAGCTTCTTCTAAATCTGAGCAAGAAAATTGGACAGAAATGGAATATTATCTTCCAGACTTTAGATCCAGAGTCCTGATCCAAAACATAGTGAACCCAGCAGGAGGCTTTCACATGGGTAAGGTTTTGATTTTTAATGGGTGACGGAGCAAAGATTTTCACATCGTGAGTGTTTTCCAGGACAAAATTCACCACTATACATCAAATTTTAAATATTACAAACCCCAAAAATGAGTGTGTAGATGACAGTGTCTGCTCCCCAGTGATTGCACTAACTGTTGATTAGGATCCAGCTTGAATAGTTTGATCCCATTTACAGCAGTCTCAAGGATTGCTGTGATTAGGCAATTGGTACAGATTTGTTGCTTTTCTGCTCTCTTGGCTGGAATTACTTTGATGGAACCAAAACTGCATACTCTGCCCAGGACACTTTGGAATATACTTAGGTGGGAGGGAGAAGGGGCTTGTGGCCATATGCTGCATAGAAGATCAAAGCCAGTTAGCAGCTACCTTACATTTAAAAAGAAACAAGGAGAGTTTCTCACATAAGATAGACCCTATACTAAGAGAGCATGCAGATGAGCTGTGAATAACTGAGGAAGATAGAAACATAAAAGTGATATAGTGTTACTGGTACATAATGAAGCCTCTGGGGAATAGAGTCTTTCAAAGCTTAGTATGACACTGGAAGTCTAATCTATGTTGATGTGCCTGGCCTGTGTAACCCACAGGAAACCTGGCTGCTGCTTGTAGGCACAGAATCATAGAATCATAGGGGATGGAAGAAACCTCTGGAAATGACCTCCTGCTAAAGCAGGTTCCCTACAGTAGGTTGCACAGGAATGTGTCCATGTGGTTCTTGAATACACCCGGAGAAGGAAACTCCACAACTGCTCTGGGAAGCACGTTCCACTGCTGAATCCCTCTGAATTCACTGTGATTTTTTATTTTATTTTATTTTATTTTATTTTATTTTATTTTATTTTATTTTATTTTATTTTATTATTATTATTATTATTTTTTTAATGTTCAGGTAGAACTTTCTGTGTTCTAGTTTTCACCTGTTACCCCTTTTCTTTTTATCATTGGGCACCACTGAAAAGAGCCTGACCCCATCCATTTGACATCTGTCCTTTAGATGTTTGTATGTGTTGATACACTCCCCTCTCAGCCTTCTCCAGACTGAGAAGTGCCAGGTCACTCTGTCCTTCCTCATCAGGCAGATGCTCCAGGTCCTTAATCATCTTTGTGACCTTTCACTGGAATCTTTCCAGTAATCACTTTTCTTGAACTGGGGAGCCCAAAACTAGTCACAATACTCCAGATATGGACTCAACACAGCAAAATAGAGTGGGAAAATCACCTCCCTTTACCTGCTGGCCACTCTCTTTTTATTGCACCCCAGGATACCACTGAGCTTCTTGGCTGCAAAGTAATACTGCTGGCTTGTGGTCAACCTGTTGTCCAGCAGAACTCTTAAGTCCTCCTCTGCACAGCTCCTTTCCACCATGTCATCCCCTAACCTGTATTTGTGTGTACAGTTATTCCTCACCGGGTGTAAGACTCTACAGTTTCCCTTGTGGAACCTCATCAGGTTCCTCTCTGCCCAACATTTCAGCCTGTTCAGGTCTTTCTGAATGATAGCACAGCCTTGTGGTGTGTCAGCCACCCCTCTCAACTTTATATCATCAGCAAACTTGCTGAGGGTGCACTGTATCCCTTCATTCATCTCATTGATGAAGATGCTGAATAAGGGAATAGGGGGAACCTTACATCGACATTCCAGCTCCTGAAGGGGGCCTACAGTAAAGATGGGGAGGGAATTTTTAAAAGGACATGTAGGGACAGGACAAGGGGAAATGGCTTTAAAGTGGAATAGGGTAGATTTATACTAGATATTAGGTAGAAATCCTTTACTGTAAGGGTCATGAGACACTGGAACAGGTTGCCCAGAGTGGTTGTGAATGGCCTTGGAGGCATCCAAGGACAGGCTGGATGGAACTTTGAGCAACCTGGTGTAGTGGGAGGTATCCCTACCTATAGAAAGGGGGTTGGAACTAGATGATCATAAAGGTACCTTCCAATCCAAACCCTTCTATGATTCTCTTCAATCTGATTAGGGAGTATTGTGAAATGTCATCTCACTTCATTCAGTATCACAACTGTTTTGAATCAAAATCAGGAAAGGGATCATGAGCTCAGAGTTATTGACTTCGTAATTTTTGAGAAAAGAAGTGCTTGGGTAGAGAACAGATACTCTGCTAAACCTCTGGCTCCCAGAAGAAAAAACTGCCATGTGAGCTTAGCTGTTCACAGGTCTGGCAACAAAGGTATAGAAAGCAAAGCTCCTTTAGCTCTGTTACATGGAAGCAATGAAGCAATTTGTCACTACTGAATCTCGATGATTTTTGTTGATTAAGCCTCAAATCCTCCCACGAAAATTTTGAAATGAAATTCCAAAAAATGACAGAAATCAGGTTTTATTATTTATATTATATATTATTTATATTATATATTATTTATTATTTATTTTATTGCTTTTTATTTTTTTTAATAGGATTCTAAATCAGCTTAATGTTTTAAATGGTAAATCATCCTAGTCTCAAAAAAAAGTCTTAATTAAGAAATATGAAAACAAAGTATTTCAATAATTCTTCTTGACTCCTTAAATAATAAAAATAAATAACATTAAACCAATATTTTCTTACAAACAACTTTTAAAAAATTGTTATTTTCTCATGAAAATCAATTTAATTTGAACAATTTTGATGAGCACCAATTGATGCAAATGTAAAAAAAATTGATTTTGAAAGCTATTTTCAAACATAGGTTTTGCAGCTGTTCTCACTTGCTTATGACTGCGTGCTGCAAGTGATGTCACACAGACAAGTTGAAAGTTTTACATTGGAATGTCCCTCCAACTGAAAATGACAATTTGTTTCAATGGAACATTTTTTAAAAAGGTATCACATTCTATTGAACTGTATTTTAAATCATATATTGAAAGCAAGGATTTCCAATTTTCTATTTCAAAGCAGTTTTTTGAAAATCAGAATTAAGGCAAAATAGCTTAATTTTTCACATGGGATCATTGTAATTGAATTGATTTTTTCTTAAGTCATTTGTTTTAACTTGTTATTTTGTTCTCTTTTGGAATGAAAATCTTCTAATATGAAAATATTATATTGGCCTTCCAGTACCTGAAGGGGGCTTCTTTATTTCACAGAGAATGTGAAGTAATATTGCAATAGGAAAAACTGTAACTTTATTCCAGTTCTCCTTACTTCAGAATTATGACAGCTATTTCACCTACCACAGTTTTCACATTAGTAAGAAATTTTTTATTGTTATTTGAATATAATGTAGAATATTGACTTTTATTTCCTCTTGATTAAGGAAAATACATTAGAAAATGCAGATCTATATGACTCAAGGTATTACCAGACTAGCAGAGATTCATGTTTTTTGCAGGAACTGTGATGCTGAGCCAGAACAAATACCTGGTTATCTAGTATCCCTGGAGTTATTCTCTCAGTGTTGACCAATATCAGATGCTAAAAGGTGAACTAGAAGATTAGAATAGATTGAGTTCAAATTGCTACAACTAAATCGGCTGTTTGCAATGGATTATATCTAACCTACAGTACAAACAATATTGCTGCACAAGTCATTTTACAGGACAACACAGCTTTGTAAAAGGTAAACAAAACAGAATACAACAACACACACACATAAAAATCAAGATGCAATGGAACACTGTGGCAACCTGCCGTGGTAAGTTGTCTGTGTTTAGAGATGAAAGCCTTCACCCTTCTTAACAGTACATTCTTAAAAAGATCTTCAGGTAAGGAAAAAAAAATTCAAGAAACTGAGAACATTTTTCTCCCTATATCTGCAACATATAGCTTTAAATTTTATATAGCAGCAAATAATTACATAAAGCAAAAATACTGAGAAAATCAGTGATACATACTTCTGTAATATTTTCCTACTACTAAACAATGTTGATAGATGGCATTCACATTTTTCCTGTTTAGAAGTTTGCTTTTGATTTCAGAACCGCATACAGGGACGCTTTAGTAAAGCACATGATAGTCAGCGTGTCTGATACGTGCTGAAGCCCTTCGAGACCAGAAGAAGGGGGCTGGGTTTCAAGCCTGGGGAGGTGTTGTGTGGGGTACCTCAGATCTCTTCTGATCACATAGGCACAGTGCTTCGTTTGTCACAAGCTTGATCCTCGCATGCTTTTTTGTGCATTGCCAGAATAGTCAAAGAATTCTAAACCTCTAGTTGGCTTATCTAGGGATTTATCTATGATCTTGTGATTAAAGACCTGTGTGGTTTTTTTTTTTTTAATTATTATCAACAGTGTGTTTTTTCTGTAGTTTAAAATGTCTTTGTGTGGAACAAATGTGCTTGTGAATAAACCAAAAGGAAGGAAACAAGGTCTAGTAGCTCCAATTTCAGAGACACAGGGTCTTCTGCCAGAGAATCTCAGTTCAAATGCAAACAAGGCATAGCATTCCCCTCTATAAGCCAGTATTTTGCTACTTCAGTTGTTTTAAGGTACCCAGATACTATGGTGTAAGGTATACTGAAATGCACTATTCAGATAGTGCATAGTTATAGCAACGGCACATAAAACAAGTTCAACAGATAAAGAAATTGGCCAAAACAGTCATTCACATTATAGGCCAATACAGGGCCTGCTTTCACCTACAAGGTTGTATGGGAACTACTGAATCACGGCCTGAACCTCTGATTGATCTCCTGAGGTGAGCAATGAGTCAGCCCTGGGAGCACAGGTGAAAGCAATTCACCTGTTCTGCCAGAAGGGGTGGAGCCTGGCTGCACTGCTCCTAGACCCATTTAAGAGCTGACTGCCAGTGGGGAAGGAACTCTTCTGGAGATTTCTCCTTTGGAGTTTTACAGTGAGCCCAGGACACAGGTAAGCATTCTATCTATTCTCTTTTGTTTAATAACCTGCTTAGCTGGACTATCTAGTATATTTCATAATTATAACATCTGTGCATTCATTGATTATACACAGGTCAAGTTTCCATCTGGATTTAAGATCTGGCTTGTACAGCTTCCCTGTCTTCTCAGGGTTGAAAACTGCAGACTACTAGCTCTGTGGTGGTACCTCAAGTCTCATCTGTGAGTTTCTTAAAGTTGGTTTCTGAGACATGTAATTCTATGCATGTTCTTAAAACTGCTATTTTTCCCTGTGTAGGTACATACAAAATTAGGAAACCTGTGGTTTCAAAAATCAAGAGTAACAGGACAAATGCCAAATATATAGGATTTATTAAAATCTAAGGTTTTAATGACAGTTATCGGACACTGGTAAGTATTCCTGCAGACTGCCCTGGGGACCCAGAAAAGTCATCTAAAAAGTTAAAGCTCAAAGTTAAAGCGTTCTGGCTTTTTCACAACTATAAGTGCGATGACATCTTTTCTGCAACTTTGAAGTTTAGTGTGGGTTCAGAAATCGCCCAGGAAGCAGGCACTGATATAAAGACATACCCTAGGAGGCAGCAGAAGCACATGTTCTCTGTTAGAAACCTGAAACACGTGAACCTGTGAATTTCTTATTCTGCTTTTCCATGCACTGCCTATTAATATTTGTTTTGTTATTGATGTTTGAGGTCCTTAGTGGCTGCAGCCTTCACATGCCCTCTGGAGCTTGTCACCATATGTATCTGGAGAGATTCTAAAGCTGCAATTAGCAAGTCACCTTGCTTGCCAGTAGACAAACTAGCAACCTGTGAAGGAGAATTCAATTTATAATCTATAGCAAGACTAACAGATTCCCATGCAAAGAGCATTAATATATTTGTGCCGTGCTCAGTTTGCCTGAGTGTTTGTAATCAATTAGAAGAAATAGCTGTTATCTCCATGTAACTGGGTCTCCCTTTCAAAAACGTATTTAAAAAAAACTGAAGGAGAATGATGGTCCTTGGTGAAACTGATGCATGCCAGCACAAATATACATCTGAAATTAATTTGCACAAGTCGCTTAGAAAGCAATTTTGAAGGGTATTCTGTATCTCTGAATTCAAAGAGTATGCTCACTACGAATTTTTAATTACCTTAGAACTGGAATATCTGACTTCAGAAACATATACCTTGATAGTCAATAACATAGTGATATCCTGAGGAAATGTAATTCTGGGATCCCCTTAGGTCTGACCAGTCCATTCACTCTCATCATTGACTCAGTACAGTGGGCAGCTGCCCTGTGACAACATCATGTGTGTGGTCTAAGGGAAGGCTGGAGGTTATGATCTGTACGAGAGCACTGGGGAGGAAGATGGAGGTGAAATATGGACTCTTGCTGATTGTAGAAACTGCAAATTGGATTTTCTTAAAATTTCATAGCCTGACTTCTAAATTATGCTTCAAGCCATATTTAGTTTGAGCCTGGTCCTTTAGCCTTGTGTGACTTATTCAGCCTTTGTTTGTGTCTGTGTGGTCACTGTATGTAAATTGAGTGTGCAGTGGTACAGTTTTGGTTTAACTTTTTGTATTCTTGTACTTTCATGTTTTTTTTTTTTCTGGATATCTTTTACATATTATGCCTTCGTTTTGTAGAGTATATAGTGTTTTCAGAGCTCTATGAATACTCAGTATTGTTATTATTTTTGCCTGGAGGTTTTGATAAATATGCTCAGCTCCCAGTAGTATATTCTCAACTCCCTATCCACAGGAAAAAAAACACTCATTTTCCAGATGTTGAAAACAATACTTCTAGCCCCAGCTACAGAGTAACTATCACGGCAAGGATCACTGCAATGGGCTAGATCCCAAAGTCCCAAGTTGTGATTGCAAAAATGGACTTTCACTCTTGTAATAAAAATGTACTTTCTTGTGGTGTAAGATATTGAATGGTGACAGCAACTGCTACAAATCTAACACAACATTAATATGTAGGGAAGAGTGTACTCAACATGATGCTGAGTGATTTCCTCCATTGGCTTGGAAAGCAAAAATAACTTGCTTGAATTGGAAAGGTAATTTTCAGTTCTCAGAATATCCTTTTCCTCTTTTACTTAGTTTTGCTGAATGCTTGGGCAGGATGACTATAGCTGACTGACTGTAGTAATGGTTATGTCATTCAGCAGAGAACTAATTCCCTTGTGTGAGCAGAATTTTGATTCATTTTATTTAATTTTTTTCTTCTCTTTTAAGGCAAAACATGCAGATGGAGGTCAAAAAACAGAACTAAGCTGTAGCCAGAAATGTTCCTATTTTGAAACACTGAAAAAACTATGTATACTTATTACAATTTCTTTTTAATGAGGGCATTTATGTCAGAGCAAAATAGCACAAAATAGAGAAATCTAGACACTGTAAAATATGCTAACAGATTTGGCACATGCATCACTCCCTTAATATGCCTCCAATGTAACCTATAGATCCCACAAATGACCACATTCTGTTTTTGTATGTAAAAAAAACTTCTATACATGTAACACTCGTAAGAGTAGCAGTCTTACTAGTAGTAAAAGATTATGGTCTTTCTATTTAGTATATAGGTTTACTTAGAATGAGTCCTTGTGGAAGAATGCAGAACCACGAAAAACTGTTAAGATGTCATGATTATAATAATTTAACATTTAGAGGAATACTTCACTTTAAGTTATAGTTCCAAAATTACACTGCTCATTCATGATTTTTTTAATGTATAATTGGCTGCCTCCAAAACTGTCACAGTAGGAGGAAAAACAGCTCATTTTCCTTGGCTTGTGTACTTCTGCTATTCCTGTGTTCGTTTGGCTTGGCTTGGGTTAAGAAATTCTGCAGTCTGAAATAACTTTTTATATGTTGGCGTGCACATTTTACTAGAATAAGCAGGCAAAATAGATGAAGGAGGATTCAGCTATGATCAAAATACATATTGTATTGCACATTTTAATATATTAGTTTGCATTTATGATCTTTTCATTTCTTCATTGTAATGGCATACATACAGGCACATCCTATCTGCACATAAAGACTTGAAGAAAGATGTTTGGAAGCAAGATAAGATTAACAAGGGGAGGAGAGATGTAGGAGAAGAAAGTAAGCTGAGGAATATAGTTTTCTCCCTCAAATATAAAGCTGAGAGAGGATTATATTGATCAACTGAAATATATTCAGGCAAAAGCCTAACATAGGAAGTAAAAAATAGGAAAACATGTTCCTCTGACTGTCCCTTTCATGGGGGCATGGAGATATGTCTCTCTCCACTGGCAGAGCTCGACTCTTCAAATGTGGATTCACATTCCCATCTAGCCTGAACTGAACTTTTTTCATTTATGGGACTGGGCTGAAGCCCCAAAAATACTCCCAGCGCTGGCTTTAGCTGTTAGTTTAGTTTCCAAATTATTGATCATTTACATCAAGCAGCAGTGGAAAGGCCACAGTCCAGCAATGCAGCTGTGGGTGTGCTGCTGAGTGAGGCCCTATCAGGCAGCATGTTCTCCCGACCTCAGATAGTAACTTTGCTGCAGAGCCTTCTGCCCTGGATCTTCAGGTGCATGCCACACAACAGCTTACTGGTTAATTCCACATCTCTTCCTAATCTGTGACTTTCCTCCAAACCCAATTTGTAGGATTCTCTGGTAGGTTGATTTGTAGTTGTGTGACAGTATCTTGACCTTTTGCAGGGAAAATCCCATGTGCTCACAAGGGTTTAACACAAGGTCTTACAAAGTAAAGTGAAAATAATTCCAATGAAAATATTTAGGCAATCCTATGATTCTGAATGTCTGTTTTGCTGGCCTTGTCATTGTGGTCTTATACTCTAAAAATATTGAATTAATGCATACTCACTGGCTGTTATTTCTGGTTAGGAAACTAGAAGTTTTCTATACACACATCATCACACTGACATGGGGCTGAGACGCAATGCAGCAGTGCATATAGCTGTGCCATGTGAGAAGCAGGGCTAAGAAGAACATATTGAAGCTCAACACCGAGTAGTTCTGTGCTTGTTTCACAACTGAGATGAAAGACGCCTTATTCTGTTATAAACAGGAAACCTGGGCCAAGTCTGTAGAGGTTCACGCCCAGGGCCACAACCTTGAGGAACCAAGGTTTGATGTATTTGTCAAGATGAAGATCACAACACACCCCATGATTTGTGCATTGTTGGGACCTGCTCCTAACCACATCTCAGCAGAGATTTCTATTTAATTTTAAAATTTTATGCAGTAATAACTAGGGGTCAGTAATATCCACATCAAAAATGAAGTATAATGAAAACTTAAAAATGTGATATTTCAAGTCCATCTTTAAGTCTTTACACTACTATCTAATATGGTAAAGCAAAATAGAAAGACTAAAGAAAATATGATGAAAATAGATAGAATAGAACTAAGAGCCCATTTCATAAATACTTTCCTTCTCATCTAATTTTCTTTAAATACAGTCTTTTAGGTGTATGTTATTAGGGACTGTACACATAGCAAATCTGGCTTTTATATGCCATTCAAAATGTTTTGTTTTCTCATTCTCCTGTTTTACTCTCATAATTCTAACTATAATTTCACTGAAAGTAACTTCAGAAGTTACTACTGATCTAAAAATTGAGAACTTCAACCTGTACAGCATTAGTGCATGAGACACCTACTATGAAAACTGAGGAGGAATGCAGAGAAATTCACCATAATTGCTAAGCTGGCTCTGTGAAACAGCAGTTATACAGGGTAATGTAGATTTTGTAGGATGATAGTGTAATGCAGAATAGCACAGTGTAGGAAATGAACTAAGAAATTATACATACATCAATTCAAGCATTAACTAAGCAAACTTGTTTGTAGTTTCTGTGAGATGGTATATGGAAATACGTTCTGCATGACATGTCTAGATCTCTTAGATCTAGACCATTTTTGTGATATTTGTGTTTGTGCCACAGTTTTCTCTTTTAACCTATTTCTTATTTATCCCCATGATGAAAACTGCCATCAGGACTGGAGAAAGTAGTGTCCAGTTCTAGAAGAAACCAATAAATTTGATTTACTCTAAGTTTTTAAATGTCCAATAGTGGAGGACAAACACCAAGTAGCCAATATGGGCCATCTTATAAAACAGATTAATAGTTTGCAACAATTTTGGTTTCTACATTATTTAGGAGAAGTATTCAGGTGTGGACTACTAGCATTTAAATTATATTAGTTTTACGTGTTTACACACGTTCTTTATTTCTAAGCCCTCCTCATTCCCCAAAACATTAATGAAGTTTGCTGCTCTTAAAATAGCAGTTGTGTATGGAATACCTAATTGTTGGTTTTCAGTTGTCATTACTGTCATGATATGTTAAAAAAATTGTCCAAACAAATACAAAGCAAGTGTGCCTCCACATTCAGTAGGAACCTGTGTTCTGCAACAATTTGTCCCACAGCCCTCATGGTACTGTTGTTGAGTTACTCCACTGCCTGCTTCAGCCAGTCTGTATGTATTTAGACCTCTCAGCTACGAACAGCAGAGTTTCATAGGAACCATTAAAAGCTGCATTTTTTTTTGTAATCTGAATGATTTATTTATTTATTGCATTTGGATTTATTTACTGGCAGTGTCAAATAAAAATTTTTGCTTAGGGCATTTTCATCTTCTCCTCAGTGTTGCTTGTGGACTTTTAGCTGGCCACACACAGAAAAATTCATCCCCCCTCCCCAAGTGCACTTCTTGGTTGGAAGAAAACCTCATAGGAAAACTGCAATGCTACTAGTACATTGTCACAATACTTCTTCACCATTTATAAATATTATTGTCAAAGTAAATTTTCCTGAGTACTTAGTCTACCTTTAACATGTAGCTTATTTAAGCTTGTAAGAATGGTGACGTCATTTTGAATATCTTTGGCCTCTTGAATACTGTTAGTACAGAACAGTAAGAAGGAAAAAATAGACTGGAAAAAATATGCTGCAGATCTTTTGACATTTTTCTATATTTTAAGTGGGTCCTCTTGCCAGTGTGCACATTCATGTGTGATGCTGGTTACAGTGTTTGCTTAATGTGTTTTATTTAACATCTTGTTTAGCATATAATTTCCTCTTTTTTCTCTTTTATAGCTGCATACAGTTTGAGCAGGTTGCCTCTAACTTCAATACTAAGTGATAAAATACACACTTCTAGCTGTGGAAGTGTTATTTCTTTTCTTCATTTTAATTTACATATATGTAGTTTTTTAGATTTATCATTTTCTTACTGTCTGTTTAAAAATGTTGAGATTTGATTGGATTTTCAATAGTTGATAAGGAGATAGAGATCAGAATGGATAAAGGATTTAGCATCCTTTTACTCATATTCAATATTTGTGGCAAATGTTGAACAGACACATCTTCTGGAAAAAACACAGCTCATGAACAATGAATATAATGGACAAATTGTTGTCATTTTAACAAAAGATAATGGTTTCTTGGTTGTTTGATTTGTTGCTATTGTTCAGTTTTTATGCATTTGTTTGACAGCTCAGCAAAAGTGCTAATTTGGTTGTTAGTGCCACAGTATTCTTGCATAAGATGTGAATAAGAATGCAAATGATTTTGTTTGAGCATGTGTGGGAAGATGCTATATCTATTGCAATAATCCAGGTAGAAAAATACATAAAAGGAAGGAAAAGAAAGGGGAAAAAAAAAAAGAGGTCTAGTCAAAATTTTCAGTGATTTTGAAAAACAATCCTGTTTAAAAATGACAGGTTCAGGAAATTCTAAAGGTGACTGATACCTCTTTATCTGAAAAGAACCCCATACCAGCGTCTGCCAGATGATAAACCATGACCAGGCTCTCTCAGGTACTATGGAAAAAGGTAGAGGAAAACCTCAACACACACCAAGCCAATACAGGAGTGAAAGGATTTTAAAGAAAGGGAGGCAGCTGGAGCTTGGTCAGACTTCTGTTGTAGTGAGCCTGGAAAGTTTTGTTCATACATCAACCAAATCCCCACATAAGAATAGAGGGAAGGAAAACAACCCTCTCATTTGCTCTTAGATGACAAATGACAGGATTTCTATGAGCAAAGCAGGGAATTCTCTCCACTTATAAAAATTTTATGACAACACAGATACACTCTCCTGCAGAACTTGACTTGCACACAATTTTGTCATTTAAAGAGATTGGGAGATGCGGATAGCTCATCTGACTTGGATTTCTTGATTATAGTGTTTAAGCTAGTAGATGGGCTTCCCTTCCACTCATAGTTTTTACCTTACAACAGCATGAGCTATTCTATTTTTTTGTCTTCTAGAAAACATTTGATTTTTGAGTGATAGTTTCTTTCATTTCCTTCCCAGAGCCATTTGTCCTGAGGTTCCTGCTTGGTTTAGACTATGTCCATACGTAGAAGATCTAGAACATTAGACTTGATGCCCAGTGAGCAATGACAGTGACATCGAAAGGCAAAAGAGGAAGTTGCACTGGTCAGTCAGAGTTAAGTGTCTGATTTAAAAAGCAGTAAAAGAAGAATGAGTTCATCTTAAATTGCATACATACAGATGGCAAAGGAAAATTCTGCCTTTGGGTCCAGTAGTGTCAGTAAGTGTACAGGATAAGGAAGTGTCTCCAAAGTAGAAACATTTCAATAGCTTAAATAATAAAGTTTTAGGATGGTTTTGCTGCTGAAAGCTCTTTACTCTCCAAGGTTGGAGGAGACAGGAATCATAAACAGCTACTGCAAAAAGCAGAAATACTTTCCAACAAAATCTTACAATCTGTCTACAGGCTTTGCCACACCACCACTATCTTAGTCCCTTCCTTTTCTGTGCTTCTGTAGGATGGAGAGCATTGTGGGAAGGAAGCATGCCTCCCAGCTGTTAATTTCTATCTTCTAGGCATGCAGGAGGGAGCATAAACTCTATATGTGCTTAGTATAAGTGGAGTATTTTATTTTAGTCTCTTTCATTTATAACTAGCATAAAGGCATGTTTTGTGATATTCTAATTTCACTCCTAAATCCCCTTTTTCCTTCCCTTTCTCTCCCTCCCTGTCCTTCCCTGCCCTCTCTGCCTTGTCCTGCTCTGCCCTGCTCTATTTTTTCACTACAGGTTGCTAATAGAAGTAAAAAATGCCCTGATTCACCCAGAAAAATGTAGCATTTTTCATGATAGTAAACCAACACCAAATATTTATTATCCCAAGATCTAACCTCAAGGACAGTGTGGCAAATGTAGTAATGAACAGAACATTTCTAAACTACATCAGAACACTGCTTTCTTTTTCTCCCTCTGAGTTTTTAATCATCTCAAGAGATAACTGTCAGCAGTTTCTTCTGGTAAGACACAAGTTTGTCAAATATAGGTACACACATAGGATATATAAATACATACAGACATAAAGTATATGTTTTTTAATAAGTTGAAGTCTATAATTAAATATACTTTAAAATAGATAAAACATCATGTAGTTAATTGCATACTTCTCTAGATCTAAGGAACCATGCAGTGAAATAAGAAAGTTAAAGGCAGGTTAGGGATATTCATTATTTTTCCCAGATAAGCATATTCATATCTATGGAAGTCAGTGCCAAATAGACTGTCAAATGTGAGAATTCTGCAGGATTTTATACTTTGTGGGTAGTAAGTGCACATTATTTCTCTTTCTCAATAAGACAGATACTTCATGCTTCAGAGCATCAGCCTAGCCCTCTGTGATTTAAGAGAATTGCCCATAGCAATCAACTAATAATGCAGTCACCACTCTGAGACATCTTCTGTTTATCAGACCCAGATGCTAGACCCTGTTTTCCTTTGAAAAAAAAATTACCCCATGAGACAAATACCCTATAAACACTCTAAGAGCTCTCTAAAGTTCATGATAAGCTTGTTGGAGACAAAGTACCCAAACTTCAATAACTGTAACTGTAAGCATCCCTGAAAAACACAACAATGAACAAAAAACTGGTGAAATGTGGGGGAACTCCAGTCAAACTCATATGTAACCCAGCAGCTAGAAGAACGCCGAAAAGTAAAACCAGACCAGCATAATCAAAACAACTCTTTGTGCTTTTTGTAATTCAGAAGACTGTCTGAAATAATAAAGAAAAAGATTCTGTTTTAAAAAGCTGCTACTGGCTTTTCCTTGTTTGAGATGGCAATCCTTAATCACAATCCTTAATCAAAAAGATAACTCACTTTAAGCTATTTTTAACCAGGTTGTAGTACATATTTAACCACTGATTGAATGAGATTACTTCATCATGTGCAACTTATGGGAAAAAGGAAAATATAATGCACTGTAATATAAAATAAATATAATATGCTGCTCAGAAAATGCACAGCTGTCCTGAGTTCATGGTGAATATCAAGAGTCTCCATGTATAAAATAGATCCAGACAGTACTCAGTTCATCTCTACGCATTTTTCCTTTTCAAGAGGGACAGATGATAGGCACAGAAACCTAACTACACTCACACCCCTCAAACTCTTCTGGATACAGGTTTGTTTTTTT